CACCTTTTCGCGATAGGCAGTTTAATAGAGATTTATTATGTGATATTTTGGGTGGACTTCGGCCACTGATGCCTGATTCAGCACCAGAAGAATACAAGGAACTTGCTCAGCATTGTTGTGATGCTGATCCTGGCAAGCGTCCAGATGCAAATTCACTTTGGACTTGTACTCACAACCTTGTTAGTAAAGTTGAGGACAATTCCGACGACAACATATGGAATGCCATTTATCACAATGATGTAAGACCTTTATCACGATCTGAGAAGGAGAATAAATATTCTAGTAAGCTCTTACCTACGGGAGATCTGCCTAAACTGAGAAACAGCTATGATTCAGTTGCAGGTATGATGACAACAATTGGTTTACACGTCGATAAAATTGCCAACTTACAATTTAACATTTTTTATCTCATTAATTTAGTGACTCAACATTTTGAATAAACCTTTATTTTACTGTCTACTTGTAACTTGCACGGATTTATTCAAATACTATGTTTATACTTATCATAGCACTTGGCAATAAGAGTCTTACTTAAAACATATATAAATATCATGCCTAGTATGTCAAAATACGTCAAACCAATAAACATTCGATGAATTCTAACTGCAAATAAAATAAATTGATGCACAATATACAGAGTAGTAGTAGTATTTTCTTTGAGGTTGATTTTAACGAACGTCGATTTTAAACCGTAAAGTATCATCCATGATGTTGGGAAACTTGGAAGGTTGGCGTTTGATTTGTACTGAGTTTTCTTCCCCTACTAAATACACTCGTTTTTTCAGTTAATATCAGGTTATGCATTGCGTTTACTCTCATTGGTTGAATAAAAAATGCCTGCGGTAAAAAATATCGAACCCACAAAGTTTAATCGAAGCATCGCGAAATATTTCTAGATGGTATCTATTTCCAAATGTCAAGTTGCTGGGCTATTCTGTAAAACGCGACAACTTCTATAGAAAGCAGGTGCTTTATCTGCTCTTAGTTAATTATTTTAACTTACTCTTGCAAAGTTTCTATACAATACGCGATATTAATACTTATGACAAATTTAAAACAAAATTAAATAAATAAAACGTTAGCTGTTTTATTACCTTTTTTCCTCTCGGGTCGAGCGAGCTTGAACAGCAACAGCCAAGTCAATAATTTATGAAAAAAACCAAACAAACCAACCTTGATAAAAGCAATCTAATAATATTCGATATTCCACTGTTTATAATCTATTGACTTAATTGCACTATAATCGCGGGTTAATACAAATTAATAACGTTTGTCGTGTCGGGAGAGCGATTTATCGTTAACATTTGAGATTTAACTCCTTCATGAGTGGGTTGTGGCTTCGCCACTTAAGTTGAATATGGTAACAGTTAGTGACCTTCAAACCAGGCTTTTATTACTCACGACTCAACGTCGATCAGTAGGCGTCAATCCTAGATAAATAATCGTCCTCGAGTATCGTCACTACCGATGGTATTTATTTCGGTAGCGTAAGTTTATATTGTATTTATCGTGAGTATATAAGAATTAACGGTGTATCAGCTATATCGAATAATAGTAGGTTGAATGAAATAATAACCCGTATTTGTTCGGAGTATGAGAGCAAATGTTACACTAAGTCATCAATTATCCAAACAATTCGATAAACATGCGCAAAATTAATAATTGAATAGTTTATCTTATCGTAACACGACTCATCTGTCTCATCCCATCACCAATATAATCAAATGGAATTCATTCCAAATAGGCATTATTTGCCGAGTTGTTTGTATTTATTGTTTGACTGACTATTTTTTTTAAACGCTTTACAAAGTATATACGAAAGACCGTCAGTGTTCTACGATTTGATATTAACGAACGTCAAAAACGTTTCTGAAAATTCTAAATAAATTCACGTAACGGCAGTTTCACAAACAGTTAGTCTTATGCCCTTAAATATCGATAATAATGCCAAAAGCAAACATTAAATCTCTTGCTGTATACGTGATGTAATAATAAATTTATCATCATTTGCTTGCCGTCATTATAATTTTTGTATGACACTCTCGCTTGAATTTTGAACCATAAACAAGAAGACATGACACAGGTAATAAAAACAACATCATTAATTGATATGACCATGCAATTTACAAAACGGCTTAAGCTCAGCGCTCTTCAGCAAAAAAAAAAAATAATAAATTTTTTTAAATTATGTCTTTATTTTATCAAGGAGCGAAAGCTCTAAATGCAAAAGCGTCGTTGCTGTTGCTAATTGCATACATTGTCAAATAAGCTCACCACCGCCGAGATAATTAAGGTTGATAAAAAGAAGTTTACACACACAAGTTGTATTCCCACTCTGCAAATCTATTATAATGCGCACGATATTAAAATTAGATGTAGCAACAGAAATCACGTAATGTGGTAATATAGTATATAAGAAAAGCCTAAAATTTTTCTATATTAATTATTTAAAATATTTCTATTAAAAACACTGATTAAAGTTTAAGAAATACTGCCAATGAGCGTATACATGCGAGAGAAAAAAGTAGAACAGAACAAAATAACGCACAATATTAGAAGAAATAATTAGAATATGTCATAATTGGTGCCAAAATGGGCGCACATAAGCGTTTTTGTTGATGAATCCAAAATTTTGACTGAAATTTCGTAAGATTTATACAAACGATTCGGCACAATTTTGTACAGAAAGTCGAAATGAGTATGGGTTTTGACTGGACATTTCAATTTAGAAAGTTTACAAAAATCGTCATGAAACTTCTGCGGAACCTCGAGGTTGTAGATGTCGGTAAAAGTAATTGACACAGTGGAATTCTGGGGAATTTTAGTTGGCGCGATTCCGGAAATGTTGAAAGTAACGGGTTTGTCAGAGACAATAGGATCAGGAGATATCGTTACGTCAAGATGCGGCAAATTACCGCATGGTTCAAAGTGAGTAACTTTTTTACTCGATTTGTGCAGAATAGCATTAATTACTGAAATTATAGCCAGCACAAAAAATAGAAATAATGTTGGGCGCTTCATAGTTTTTGTGGTTGTTAATTGATGAATTGGTAAGTTTTTCGGTTGATACAGTCCCAGCACACCATCGTTTTATAAGAAAAAGTAGTTTTCTAAATAATATTTTATAATACCCAAAATAGAAGCCTAACTACAAAGATTGAATAACTATAACAAGCAATATGCATGGTTACCGTGATCATAAGTTGTTGCTCATTACCATTTCCTATCTCCAAAATTAAAGCCTTTGTTTTGAATTGAATACAAGTGGCTCTCGATATAAGAAAGTGATCGGGGCCCAACAAATTCCTTTCTTATATCGAAAATCTCTTATAACGAGAGTCATTTGTTATAAGATTTTAAATCGGGTCCAGCAAAAATACCTTCTTATATCGAAAGTTTCTTATATCGAAGGGTTCTTATATCGAGAGCCACTTGTATTGCACATGGTCGTCACTCTAATGACCTAAATTGGTATGACCATCTATGGGTGCTCTCATCAGCTACCTCCCCTATCAGATTGGCAATCGAATTGGCAATCACTGTAGGGGAGGTAGAGGGGAGGTACCATAAATAGTAATTGACAGTAATCGTACTATTGTCTCTACTACAATCTTATTCTATGACATGTATAGCTATCAAATAATAAAGAATTTTTCCACTTTATTTGGCAAGAGCTTATGAGCACTTACCTCTCCTTTAATTTACCTACCTGCCAAATTTGTTAGGGGAGGTAAGCTGGTGAGAGAGCCTCTATTGCACAAAAAGTCTGAATTTTGGTTTGCACTTGTCCGATCGGGAGGGCAAATGCAAATAAATTGTCCTGTCAAAAAAGTCGTCATAATCTGCAAGTCATCATCAAAATCAGGGTCATACGAAGTTTTGACGTGAGTTGATCAATATGAAGCATGATTGTTTTGATGTAACCAATAAGATCAGTCTCAGATACTAGCTGAAGATGTTTGTTTGAGCACTAAATAAAGAACACGATGAAATCAGAACGAGCCGAAACTGTAATAGTTTAGAGATAATAGACAAGGTGCTTTATTAACTTTCATGGTGCTCCAACATATTACGTACTTTTTTGTCGAAACGGTGAGTTAGTAACTTCAATATAACGAACCAAATCAAGTGGGGCTGATGATTCAGACCTAAAATGGAACAAACCGTTCTTATGTTTAAATACCATGAATCAATTTTCCGTAACACATACCATGCAATAAGAAGAATTATAACTAACGTGTTTAGATATTCTCCAATCGATGTGTCCATTGAAACTTACGCTAACATATTTAAAGCATTTTTTTCACAATGACGTGATTACGCATCCAATCGGCTAGCATATTCAGCCGCTCAAAGAATTTATGCGTCGTCGCACAATAGAAGAATAATCGCTAACGTACAATGTACCCCTCGCTCGAACTTGGCGTAATCAAATATCCAGCTTATTCCCCATCTAAACATCAGATGAGACTAACAGCAAAGGGTTAAAGCCAGGAAAATTTTGTGATGACATATTCGTTAATCGTTCCCTCCTTTATCTGCGGGAGTATAACGCGCAAATGTGTATTTTTATCATGTGTGCCTCTTCTCAACAAACGTAGTTATGATAGTTTGCTTCTCTGAAAAGGCAATATGTATCTGTGACAACGAACGTAATGAGTCCACGACGATTAGGTAATAGAAATCGAACATGTGGACTTCAGCATCACAATAAATATATACCGTACAAAATTAAACGTATTCGCAAGTGACACTTCTTAACAGCCACAAGGGGCGAAGCCCCCTATAAAATTTTAAATCTAGTTAACAATAAGACACATTTGCTCGAAAATAAGATTCTTTAATTTAGACTTTAAAACAATTCGAACTAAACCAATTCAATTTTATCTTCAAATAATCTTATAAATATTTATTCCCATTCTGTAATAATATGTAAATAAAGTGCAAAACTTCACTCTTTATCGTATTCATCGTTTCACAATGCAAAATTGCACTTCTAATTAACCATCAATTGAAGGTGCGGCGGGGACAACAGTGCAGATCCTTATTTTAAAAGAAAAAATGAATATTTATAAACTAACGAAAAAAGCATATTCTAATAATAACATGCAACATACCATCCGATAATCTGTGGATTTTCGCAAGTAATTGCCCATTGATTGTCACTTTTTGTCATTGTTGAATGAGATTCCGCTGTATCTTTGGAATAACTTCCAGAAATAGCGAAAGGTCCCCAGCCAACTGAAAGGTGAGCTTATAAAGCAAAATTATAAACGATTTATAACATAAGCACGTGAAATTTTACACACATAACACAAACACATGCACACATCTTTCTCTCTCAAAAAAGAGTTACTAACCCTCTTTATGTGTAGCGTCCGTCACCAGCTGTTGTTCACTACTGCTAAGGCCTGCGGTAATTTTGATATCGCGAGCGACAATAAAATCAGTGGGGATAAGTGACCACTCGCCTCGGCGATTTGCTGCTTCAATAGATCCAGTACTCCATCCATATTTTGGCACTCCCTCCATAGACCAGAATTTTTTTTCCAAAAGTGAAGCGTCTAACCAATCTCTAAAAGACAGTGAATATTTTATCAGTGTAATAAAACTTAAAGATCAAGATCTTACCTTTGGATTGTTACTTTGAGGCACTTAATGTCTATATTAATCTTTGAATCATCAGACGAACTATGTTCTGTAGTATGCTTATGTTGATCACTATATCCTCCGCCAATGCTCCAAAGCTGATAGCTTCCACTGCCTCCGATTGAGGTTGATGTACTTTCAAAAGTATTGTCTAGACTTGTTCTGTCAGTTCCTTCCTGGATGTTGATTGAGGTCCACCGGCTGGCGTCAGGTTGTTCTTGGGCAAGGAGGGTATACCAGTCATTTGGCATAACAGAGCACGGATAGTAGCTTGTGGCACTCGTAGTCGAAACTAAAGCTGATCTATCAAACTTATCGCGAGCATGACTCCATGAATAAGTAGGCAGACTTTCGGATATAGTGTTAAGTTCGTCAAAAACGTTCTCGATAATGCGCTGAAGATAATGTTAGTAAAGCAAAATGATAGGAAAAAGGGAAATAAACTATTGTTTACCTTGCCGGAAGCCTTCCAGTCGTTATCTGCCTTATCAACCATCGCCTGAGCCTTAGGCCCTAGATCATTTTTCCAATTATCTGGAAAATTATCCGCTTGTTTAGCACCAGCCAATATTGAATTAAATTCAATAACGGCCTCGTTATATTTTTTTGCTCCATCAAGATATTGTTGGTATTGAGGAGTTTTGCTGCCATCATCTGAAATAATTGACCAAGGAATAACACCATTATTACCAAGCGAAAAGACTGCAACATCATAGATTATAATTACCGCGGTAAAGATAAGCCTCCCATTCTTTAGCCTTTTCCATATTTTTCTCAAATTCCACATCTTCGGGTAATTTGGCCGTTTGCAGTAGTTGCGCATACATAGAAGAAACGGTCTTTTGCGTTCTGACGTCTGATTAAATTAATGCATTATATTAGTATGTCAAAAAATTTATGATTTAATAAACCATTTACATACATTGGGGTTTCATTAGTGGAATAGCATCTACCAAATCCGTTAAGTTCTCTTGCGCAGTCTTTTCATCTCTTCCAGGACGATGGTTAGGGTCATAAGAATTTGGATTAAGAGAAAGTCCAGGTAGACTAAGAAGGAATATTGATTTGCGTTCATCAGTAGGATCATCTTCTGGCGCTCGACCGTTGAAAGCATCAGAGAGTTTGTCATAAATCCAGGCAATAATATCCCTGTCGTTTCTGGGTTGGCTGCTCATTATGTTTAATACTGTCAGTTAGTTAAAGAGAAAGCTGTAATTTGTAAGATTCTCGAAGAATAAAAAACTGATTTGAACCTGACTTCTCATTTTATAAACAATTAGTACAACCCTAATGACCAAATCTAAATCTTTACTCAACCATAAAAAGCTTTACCCGTAAAGATCGTACAATGTAAATATTTATGTCACAAAGAGCGGAATTTCCTACTTTGAATATCATGGTTCAATAATGTCAAAATAGACGACACATATTCAAACGATTGCATTGTAATCAATGCTATTCATTCGACATTGGATTTTGTCATGCATAATAGTATGCATGACAATACGTCTGATTGTAACCGTGCGTGCTGAAGATGATGCTCTTCGGTACTATCTAAGCAAACTTACGGCGAGAAAACGGCAAGATGTATAAACTTTTCAGATTTGATGATTTAAATTTATTAACCAGATTGCTGCCGTTTATGTTATGGCTTTTCAATATCATATTCTACGAATAGAGACAATAACGCACATAAGTGACCAAACCCCAACGCTTTTATCCAATTACATAATAAACGAGTATTATCATCGTATTAATATTTATAGTTGATATTCACAATGTTTTTTGATAAATAATTTAAGTTAGATAAGAAAAAGGCGTATATTTGTTATACATAAAGTGTTATGAAACGGTTGTAGATATATCTGTTCCGGTCCGATCTTCAGGTTGACTTTTATTATAACAAAAATCGAGAAGATAAGAAATGCCACCAATGGGAATAAAATTAAGTGTAGAAAACGAAACGTTTATGCAAAAAGTGTTACAAGACGGTCACAGATATATTGGTTCCATCTTCGGGTTGACGGATATGACTTTCATTAACACATACTTTAAAGAAACCGAGATATAAGAAGTGCCTCTAATGTGTTAAACATATCACATCGGTTGAACGTTCTTGATACACAAATGTCATTGAACATAGTAATTGACAACGGATCGACTCTCTTTGATTCAACGCCAGAACGTGCAACTCTTTTGTTGAACGTTCAGTCGATATGCTATTTTTTTACTAGATAACGGGTAGACGGGCAAATTTTGCGGCCATGCTGTAAACAATCCTCGAATACACGTTCGTACTATATGACATATCCGCATCTTCGTTTTGTACTATATAGCAGGAGTAACTTGATTAGAGATTTATTGGTATAACACGGGTATCAGAACATTCCCGCCGGTCCGAATCAAATGCAAGCCGGCCCGATCTATTATTATTATATTATGGTACAACAAGCACCTGACCCTAGGTGATACAAATTAGATACGTACAAGCCAACTTATACTGGCCATGAATAAAAATATTTAGACTAAAATCAATTATTTCTCTTTCCTACGTACTACTGATAGTTTAACAGGATGTAGAGATCTTGTTGCAGAGTGAAACTTACTGTATAACTGCACTGATAACCGAAGTTTCCAATATAGAGAGGATACTATAACAACAAGTATAAAAGAATGACATATAGAACGTTATTATCGTAATTTTGCTGTTTTGCTTAGCAGCTGTTTGTCTCCGTTATTACTGTCGCATACACCAAGCCCATCCCATCTTCTCCTCACAGTAATGCTATAATCGTTACCCGCACTGAAGAGAGACATGTATTGGGCTGATATGTTGGTAAATAAAGCTTCTCACAATCTCAACATGTCACATTATCTCATGGTTTGTTTATCTCCTGCTAACAATAAAGGAAATGGGCGTATTTGTTTACACTGTGTGGTGTGGCTGTCATGGTTGACCGTCCTTGAGAATGGAGTTGATTTGCAAAATGTGATAATACCATAATAATAATACTAGCAAATGGGCTCATACAAACCTTTCGAAGATGGTTTATTATAATAATTTTATAAATAATTAACATAATGGTTAGTTGTGGGATGACAGCTTGGGTTACAACCATTATATGCACTTTTACAAGGGCATCTTCTTGTTGAACTTGCAACGACAGTTACTTTCATTTCCAGTGCCTTGCATCCACCCTAACCGCCGTTGTCAATGAAACAATCATTTCTGGAATATTGTCCAGTCCCTATATTCTGCATCAACCATTTCCAACTCAGCAGCTTAATTAGTATGCCTGAGCTACAGCCCAATTTTTACCACCCTCATCCAAAACGTCCACCACCTTACGTAAGAGAAACTTTCTTAGTCTTTGCCGATAATCTGTCAACAACAGTTATCTTTCGAACCATTCATTACTGACAACACAGGAAAGTGGATCGGATATATCACACAATGTATCATTCTTCAACTGTGGCAGCATACCATTATACAATCAGTCTTCAATCATATAACGATACTAAAAAGCGTCAAAGAAACGGATGTAGTTTGATTTTCTCCATTGAACACACGTGGGATGAACCCTGATTTACTGTGGGGAAAATATTATAAGTCGAGGAATAATCGTCAATACACTTGTCATACATATTTTTTTTAACGTTAAGTACATTTTCATCGCTGTATCCTGATGCATCCTCATGCACATACTTTCCTATTTTATAATTTCTTCATTCTCCATTCGTTCTATCAGCACTTCATTTCCTAAACTGTTTTCCGCACTAACCTTCTAATACACGAATTCCGTAATTTTAATGTAGATCTCTAACGACCGTTCTTATATTACCCACCGGAGACTAGCGCTTTTTATACTATTTTTCAAAATTTCAACATGACTGTTGCATACTATCGCACTACATCAAACTTACTTCTACTGTGACTTTGACCAACGTCTTCTGTCAAAAAAGTCAAAATACTCTCATTAAAAATAAAACTCCCATTATCATTACATTCATAAATAAAATAATATTTATTTTATTCGCATGTAAAAAATTTTGTCGTCCTTTTCTTTATTTACTCATAAAAAGTTATCAGGTGAGAAACACAAACGAAACTGTTATGCACCTTAACATTGTTAACGTTAAGTACATATTTTTTTTTTTTGATATTTCTTTATTTGCATGTAAATTTGTCGTTACTCATTTCTTTATTACTCATAATCATAAATCTTATTACCCATAAAAGATACGCCCCCAACCCACTTCATCTAAATCTAGTCGCACCATCTGATTTTGTGTAAGATTCCACAGCTACTGTGAACGCGATGGGCTAACACCGAGGGTTCATGCTCGGCATCGCTTCATTATGGGCAATGTGTAGTTAACGAT